AACAGCAATGTACACGCCCGCGGCCACACACACGGAGTTTCCAGGGAGCAAGGTTTCAGATAGCCTTTAGTTATTTCTTCTTTCTCGGGCATCAGACATAAAAATCACAACTCCGAGTCACTGATATTCAGGGATGTTGTTGTTCGTTGCCGCCGATTCGATTCCGACTCATGGCGACTCTATGTGTGCAGAGTGGAGCTGTTCATAGGGTTTTCAAGGCTGTGTGACGTTTCAGAAGCAGAGGCCAGACCTGTCTTCCAAGGTGCCTCTGATGGGGTTTGAACCACCAACCTTTCGGTTAGTAGCTGAGTGCTTAACTGTTTACACCACCAGGGACTCAGTGTGTTTATAAAACAAGCAGCAAAGCATACCTTGTTCCTCATAACAGCATACGTCAGTTCATATGGATATATGGGGTGTGCACAGGAAATAATGCAACCTAAAACTAGGGAGGCATTTCATGCAACAGAGAAAAGAACCCTGGGCTGGCCTCTCTCGTCTTGTCTTTGCATTAATTTATCTTCTTTTTTTTCCTGCTGCCTTTTCTCTGTTCCATGACTCAAGGGGCTGGATTCTCTTCTTTCAATGGGGGTGACCCCCACTGAGCCACACCCTGTGCAATCCCTTCCCCCTGAGCGCAGAAGGACCAGTGACTCGCTTCTAACCAACAGAACACAGTGATGGTGATGCTATTATGTTGTTTTCTGTAAGACTGTGTCATAGCAGACTGCAGAGTGAGACTCTCCTGCTGGCCTTGGAGGAGCAAGCAGGCATCCTGTGAACTGCCTATGGAGGAGACCTTGTGGCCGGGACTGTGGGCGCCTCCAGAAGCTGAGGGAGGACCTCGGCCAAGAGCCAACAAGGAAACAGGGCCTCAGTCCTACAGGCTCAAGGAAAGGAGTTCTTGAGAACAACCAGAATGTCCACAGAAGTGGTGTCTCCCCAAGTTGAGCCTCTGGATGAGAACACAGCCCCATCAGTACCTTGAATGGCAGCCTTGCTAGACCCAGCTACACCATGCCCACAGTCTGACCCAGAGAATCTGTGAGATCATAAGTCACTAAGTTTGGGGGTAATCTGTTACACAGCAATGAACCAGTAAAACCAGCTGCCATCGAGTCAAATCCAACTCATTGCAATCCCAAGTGTTTCAGAGGAGAACTGTGCTCCATGGGGTTTTCAGTGGCTCGTTTTTCGTAAGTAGATCACCAGACTTTTCTTCTGAGGTGCCTCTGGGTGGACTCAGAAACCAAGCTTTTGGTTAGCAGCCAAGTTGTTAAGCATTTTCACCAGCCAGAGATTCCTACCCCACAGTAGATAACTAATAGAAAGATATTAAATTTAATGCCAAATAAGGAAAGTTTAACCAAAAGACTCTTAAAAAGCAGAGATGTCACTTTGAGGACTAAGGTGCGCCTGACTCAAGCCATGGTATTTTCAATTGCCTCATATGCATGCAAAAGCTGGACAAAGAACAAGGAAGACCGAAGAAGAATTGATGCCTTCGAATTATGGTGTTGGCGAAGAATACTGACTATACCATGGACTGCCAGGAAAACCGTGGTGGCGTAGTGGTTAAGTGCTATGGCTGCTAACCAAAGGGTCGGCAGTTCGAATCCACCAGGCACTCCTTGGAAACTCTATGGGGCAGTTCTACTCTGTCCTATAGGGTCGCTGTGAGTCGGAATCAACTCAACGGCAACAGGTTTGCTTTGGGTTTTATGGACTGCCAGAAGAACAAACAATTCTGTCTTGGAAGAAGTACAGCCAGAGTGCTCCTTAGAAGCGAGGATGGCGAGACTTCATCTCTCATACTTTGGACATGTTATCAGGAGGGACCAGTCCCTGGAGAAGGACATCATGCTTGGCAAAGTAGAGAGTCAGCGAAAGAGAGGAGGACCCTCAATGAGATGGACTGACACAGTGGCGGCAACAATGGTCTCAAGCATAACAATGACTGCGAAGACGGTGCAGGACCAGGCAGAGTTTTGTCCTGTTGTACACAGGGTCGCTATGAGTAGGAACCGACTCGATGGCACCTAACAACAACAAAGCAAAGTTTTGACTGGTCCCGGAAGAAGCCAAAATATTTTGATAAAACAGCTGGATAATATGTCAGCTACCTTAAGGGAGGGCAAAAACTGTATCATTTCCAGCATGTAAGAAAGGGCTGGTTACAAAAGAGGCATTTGAGACTTACTCTTCTATTTGGTCCATCACTAATTCATTATCTCAGCTGTGGATGTCAGTACCAGAACAACTGAGTGCATAGCCTTGAATATCTGCCAGGAGTTCTATGTATTATTTAGGCATTTTAATGTTCACAGTTACAGCCTGTTTCCCAGGATGTCACTGATGACAGCCCTCAGGCTGGACGTGCTTCTAACAACAGAATAGCGTTGTGCGAAAGTTGACGGAGCAACCAGCTGGTCACAAAATGCTGAGCAGCAACTTGCTGAGCAAAATAAAACTGAGATAAGAAGTAACATATTGATCACCTTCATTACTGGGAAACATTCGTTCCACTTTTGTAAAATAGCATTGTACACTTTGCTAAACTAACGCTACAGCAAAGTTGAGTCAATTCCGACTCATAGCAACCCCATAAGTGTAGTGGTAGAGCTGTGCTCTGTAGGGTTTTCAATGGCTGATTTAAACAAAAAAAATTTTTTTTTTACATTTTGGTCAAAGTATACACAGCCAAAGATATACCATTTCAACAATTTCTACATGTACAATTCAGTGACATTGATTACATTCTTCAAGTTGTGCTGCCGTTCTCGCTATCCGTTTCCAAATTATTCCACTGCCATTATCTTAAACTCAGTGTTTCCTAAGCTTCCCATCCAACCTTCAATGGCTGACTTTTTCAGAGCAGATTGCCAGGCCTTTCTTCTGAGGCATCTCTGGGTGGATTCAAACCATCAACCTTTTAGTTAGCAGCTGAGCGCGTAACTACTTGAGCCACAGGCACTCCACATAACACTATGACCCCCTGCAGTTGCCCACGGGATGTCTACCAGTACAGCACCTGGGTAGCTGTCAGAAGATGGGGCTCTAGACTTGGCCTCCCCAGCTGGGTGGCTGGCCCTGGGGTAAGCCATCTGACTTGAGCAGCCTCTACTCCACAGCCCTTCATGCTTCCCCACACAGCTTTTGAGGACCTACTAGGCACTGTGCTTATCTCTAGGGTGACTGGGAAGGGCCATGAGGACAGCTGATGCACTGTACAAAGTGAAGAAGGGCTATCATTCCCCTCATCCAGAGCCCATATCCTTAGGATCCAGTCCATGTGCCTTCCAAGGAGAAAACCAGACCGCAGGGTCACATGAGCACCAGCTGCAGTGGGAGAAGACCAACCGCTATGTCTGTCTGGGTCGCCTGGGAAGAGTCCCCTTCCAGCCCTAGTTCAGTTCAGAGAAGCCCCATATCATAGCCCCATTTCATCCTGATGCTGTGCAGCACCTATTCTGGCTCTCTCCCAAGACCATCAACAGAGCCTCCTGAACTGCCACAGTGGACTTTCAACTGCGGTTCTCCACTGGCCCTCATGGACTTTCAGGTTCTCCTTATTTCTGGAGGCTCCTATGCCTGGGGGGCAGTAGTGGGTCAGTGGTAGAATTCTCGCCTTCCATGTGGGCCAATGCATCTCATGCACAGCCGCCACCCATCTGTCAGTGGAGGCTTGCATGTTGCTAGGGTGCTGAACAGGTTTCAGTGGAGCTTCCAGACCAAGATGGCCTAGGAGGTAGAAGGAAAGGCCTGGTGATCGACTTCCAAAAATCAGCCAGTGAAAACCCTGTGGATGCCAACAATCCAATGTGCAACCCACTTGGGAAGATGCAGGACCAGGCAGCATTTATCCTGTCCTGCATGGGTCACCATGAGTCGGGGGGTTAACTAGGCAGCAGCTAACAACAAGTGTGCCTGGAAGCAGGCCGGAAAGGACTTTCAGACTCTCCTTATTTCTAGAGGCCACCACGCCTAGAACCGGGCAGTCCATCTGGTCCCCTTGTCTCCCTGGCTACATCCTAGCAGATGCCAGGCTGGGGCAGAGCCTGGGCCCTGGTTTGCCCTCAAGGAGACAGACTCTGTCTCCCCGCCTTCAGCATATTGGTGACTTTAGACACAGGTCTTCTAGGAAGCCACAGTCTGTGTGTGATCTACCTGAGAGCACCGGTGGTCTAGACGCCTCCCACACATCTCCACGTGCAGGAGCCCTCCACCCAGGGCCCGGGGAGCCTGAGGGTAAGCAACGAGATGAAGTGTCTGAGCAACCTGCTTCCAACAGTCGGGGCTGCTTCTCCACAATGGCACGGAAGGTTCAATATCACACAGAGAACTATGCCCAGAACAGCCACAGTGTAGGGTGGGAGGAAGGAGCCTTGGCGGTACAGTGGTTAAAGCACTGGGCTGCTCACCAAAAGGTCAGCGGTGTGAACCCACCCAGCAGCTCCACAGGTGAAAAGACCTGGTGATTTGCTCCCATAAAGATTACAGCCTCGGAAACCCTATGGGACAGTTCTACTCTGTCCTACAGGGTCGCTATGAGTCAGAAAAGATGGCACCTAACAGCAACAAGGTGGGAGGGGGATGGCAAGAGTTTGTACTTCTGAACAATGTCTAGTCTTTCATGTGTGAGTAATACAATGTATTACCTTGGTGTCTGATTAACAGACAATGGAAGCACTGGGTGGCTAGGTCTTAACGCTCACGGTTTTTTTTCTTTTTTATGTGAGTTTAGTTACTCGTTCTCACTCTCCTCCTCCTCCTTCCTTGCTCCTCCTCCTCCTCCTCCCTCTCCATCTCTTCTTCTTTTCTGTCTCCCTCTCCCCCCCCACCCCCTTCTCTCTGTCTCTGTTTCTCCGGAAGTGAACTGATATCCCCAGGCTGCACAGGGACAAGGGTGCCCTTCCCTGCTGACAGCACCCCCACCCCGGGCACCGCCAGACTGTGGTCAAGCGCTGAGAAGCGCCGGCCGTGCCCTGTGGCTCTCTTACCTCACAGAAGCTTTGGCACTGATGCCTCCGCTGGTCCCAGGACTCCTTGCAGGGCTCCAGACACTGGGAGAGATCGAAAACGAGAGAAAATCAGCCACAGAGAAGACACAAAACCAAGGGGAAAAATCAGCCGGTGGGCACTGCCTTCCACGCCCGTGTTTCCTGGTCAGTTAGGAAACGCAACATCTGAGTATTTTAGCTGCGCGTAATATGAAGTAAGCAGGAGTGTCATTACAGAACCAGGACAAATGTATGTGTGTGTATATATATATATACTTTAAACACAACTGGGAGAGAACGGTTGCACAGTCTGGAGGCGACTCATGGGAAATGCAGCAACATTCCCGATAGACTCAGAATAATTTGGACAAAAAATATTTTTATTCAATACGAAATACTTTTTAAAAGATTTTCTTTCAGGGGAATTATTTTTCTCAAACCTTTACTATTCAGTATCAATTTCCTTTATTAAATTGACAAAATAGTGTTATTTCTTTGGTAAAGAAAACCCAGTGGCGTAGTGGTTAAGAGCTACAGCAGCTAACCAAAAGGTCGGCACTTTGAACCCACCAGCTGCTCCTTGGAAACCCCACGGGGTCCTATAGGGTCACTATGAGTCGGAATGGACTTGATGGCAACGAGTTTGGTTTGTTTGTTTTTTTTATACTCTTCGAAAAAGGGATTCAGTGGAATTGCACTGTGCTAAATATGTGGATATGCACGTGTATATATGTGTGTGTGTGTGTACACACATATATACACACACCTATGTGTGTGTTGTACGTGTATATGGAATTGCACTGTGCTAAATACGTGAATATGCAAATATGTATGTGTGTGTTTAAATAAAACAAATATGTATATGTGTGTGTTTAAATAAAACAAATATATATATTTGTTAACATGTATTTAGTTCAATTAATTCAAAAATAATTTAAATTCATCCACTTTAATTACCATTGATCACATAACTAAAACTTACTCTACTGTATATAGTTAGAGTTACATATATATAGTTATAAATTAAAGAGAATAGCCAGGCCTCACTGTTGAAAATGACTGCAATAATTGATTGTAATAAAAAAAAAATCACTGTTGAATAAACAAATTATACATACATATATAACATAATTATTACTATATAGTGTAAATATAGTAATAAATTATATATACACACATATATAATATGCTTAAATAAACTTTGATACACGTATAAAGATATAGATACAGATGTAGATATATCAAAGATAACAGCCAGGACTCCTTGTTGAAACTACAATGTTACATTCATATCCATGGAGATTGAATTATTCAGATGATACTTTTAATGTGATATAAAAATCAGCTCCCATGTAGCCAAAGTCAGTCGTCTAAATATTGGCATACCATTGACTCTCATAAGCTCATGATGATTTTCTCTATATGATTTTTATTCCTTTGATGGTAAATAAATGTTCCTGTTAGAGTCAAACTTACCTTTTAAATTTTCAAACATTTATAATGTAACATTCAGGATGGATGATATACCTATACCATTTTGTCACTCTGTTTTCTAATAATCCCCCCCTCCACTGTAAAATTAAAATACAGCGTGAAGAAACACTGGAAGATTGTATAGTGAAACTGGATTTTCAAATAACCATTGCCAGTTTTCAATCAGAAGTCTATATGAAAACCAGTGATGCTCCTGTGCCGAGCGTCAGGCGTTTCTGAGTGTGCTACTCTGGACGTGATCTCTGGCCACGAGCGTCCGCATCCCCGGAGTTTTAGAAACACACACCCCTCCACACCTGCAGAGTCAGGGCCCCGGGATCTCCCTGGATGTGTTCAGCTGGGAAGTCTGCATGCTCACTAAACTTTCAGAACTGCCATAGCATTTGATAAAAACAAAGGGTCCGTAAAGGCTAACTCATTCGTGAATGTTGCATGTAAACAATTCATTTTTCATCATTTTAATTAAAAGAATCTTGAGTTCATCAATAATACTTCCCCAATACTTACATGGGCTGGGCCCACGTTTATTTGTTTCTACTTCTCTCAAGCGTGACCCCAAACAATATGTGTATTATCACCACTAAAGTATTTCTCAAAGAATACCATTTTTCTGACAGCAGTGAAACAGTGTTTGAAAACTTGTTTATCTTCCATATATTACTAATCCTTAAAGAGTTATTAGGTTAGTTTCCTAAAGGACGGTCAATACCTTATCTTTATTTTTAATATTTTTTAAGACATTGGCTCTTAAGTTTCCAGACTCCTTTTTTGTTTGTTTGTTTAGTTTTGTTTTTTATGACACTGGTTCTTTGCCAAAAAAGTTTAGTAGTCATTTAATAAGTATGCTTGAACTAATCTCTTCTCAAGGTCATTTGCAATAAATAAATAGCACTCTTAAAAATACCTTGAAATTTTATTTAGTTTGAGATTAAACTGTGTTTTATTAAAGCTGCACCAATCCACAAGATCAGCTGCTCCCACGTTAAGTCTTTGTCATTTCACTCAAGAAATACGCAGCAAGCATTTATTCCTTATAAGAAACTGTTAAGTGCTGTCGTGCGTTGAATTGTGTCCCCCCAAAATATGTGCCAACTTGGCTAGGCCATGATTCCCAGTATTGTGTGACTGTCCTCCGTTTTGTGAGCTGATGTAATTTTCCCGTGTGTTGTAAATCCTAATCTCTGCCTGTGGCTAATGAGGCAAGATTACATTATGTTAAAGAAGATTAGGGTGGGATGCAATGCCCTTACTCAGGTCACAGCCCTGAACTGATGTAAGGAGATTTTCCCTGGGGTGTGGCCTGCATCACCTTTTATCTTACAAGAGATAAAAGGAGAGAGAGGCAAGCAGAGAGATGGGGACCTCATGCCACCAAGAAAGCAGTGTCAGGAGCCGAGCGTGTCCTTTAGACCTGGGGTCCCTGCACTGCGAAGCTCCCAGACAAAGAGAAGACTGATGAAAAGGACCTTCCCCCAGAGCCGACAGACAGAAAGCCTTCCCCAGGAGCTGGCATCCTGAATTTGGACTTCTAGCCTCCTAGACTTTGAGAGAATAAATTTCTGTTTGTTAAAGTCATCCACTTGTGGTATTTCTGTTATAGCAGCACTAGATGACTAAGACAAGCGCTATGTGTCTAACAGTGTATCAACAGAACTATGCAGTTCTTGTTTTCTGCCATTGGTAAAAACAGAAGCCATGAAAATATGCTACTGTATGTGCCTATAGTTGCATTTTCTTAACTATACACTTATAAATGCATAAAAAGCCTTAATCCTTTGAGATCTCCACAATCACACATAACCTACTTCTTGAAAGCTCGTGGAACACGCAAATAATTTATATAAAACAAATATCATTTACAAAAATTTGGGCATGCTTGGACATTCTAATGGAAGCAATACATATCACACTTGTCTTCTTGTTAATCCATAACCACTTCCATCGGGGTATGCAATTCCTTTAAAGCTCTATTACAATTGCACGCTTGCATTTCCAGTAACCCCTGGTCAGCAGTGTCTAAAGACACACCTCAAAATGTTATTAATGACAGCAAACATTTTCTTTTAATAATCCTCTATGAAAACTACCTGACAAGCATTGCCTGGCTGCAGCCATCAGAATAAATCTTTGCAGGATAAATTGGCCCAACTCTATTCTGGTGAATCTTTAGGATTCTCTTGGTCAGTTAAAATGATTCCATCTCTCTCACGGTTTAGAAAAGAAAAACACACTTTCTATTTCTTCAAATAATAAAAACGACACGCCAAACAAGGATAGTCCCAGATCTGCCTTCTGGGAAAGAAGAGAAAGTGAGAGAAATAATAATACTACAGACAAACAATGGCTTTGGAATTTATCAGCTATCACTGTTCTAAGTGCCAAGATCTGATATTGCCTAAAACTAGAAAATACAGCAACCAAACTTAAGAGTTTAGCAAGCGTCTTAGGCTTTCACGTTTTAGAACGATCAACTGTTGAGATCATTTCCTCGTTGGCTACTGTTTGAAGCCCAATAAAGAAAGACTCCAAACTTTAGAGAAGTGTTAAAAAAAAAAAAAACGAATCACATGTTGTACTTGGAATGGAGATAGCAATTATTTTTTACTTAACTTAGAATGATACATTCTCAATATCATTTGCTTAGACATTTCAATTTCTCTATATTAATTTTATACATTATATGTAATATATAATTATATATAATATAAAAAGTCCTTGGTGGTGCCACTGTTAAGAGCTCAGCTGCTAACTGAAAGGTTGGCATTCTAACCCACCTAGTGGCTCCACAGGAGAAAGACCCGGTGATCTGCTCTTGTAAAGATTACAGCCTAGAAAACCCTATGGGGCAGTTCTGCTTTGTCACACAGGGCAGCTCTAAGTCGGAATCACAGCACACAACAACAACATTTATAATAACATAAGGTGTAATCAACATATACCTCTATGTTATTTTTTATATTGTATAACATTTATAAACTTTTATGAGCAATACCAAGGGTTGGCACACTCAAATGGTCCGGGACCCAAGCAAAGAATGACCAAGTATAAAGGAGGTAGAGTACAGCAACTGGGACGATGAGAATGGTACACGGGACAGCCCGCCCAGTGGGCAGGGACAACTGAATATTCTCCTCCTCGCTGCCTGCCCATTGTGGTCCGAGGTTTTCCAGGGTGCTCCACACTTCACAGAGAAGCCAGTGATACCAATTTCATGGCAATTCTTCTGCTTTTCAGATGTACTACACAGGACTTGGTACTGACTGCAATTTATTTACAGCATAATAGACTAAATGTCTACTGAAAACAGGGAGTACCGGAAAGATGTTTACCTCTCCTTTACTGACGATCCAAAGGCATCCGACTGTGTGGATCCTAACAAATTACGGATAACATTGCGAAGAATGGGAATTACAGAACACTTCATTGTGCTCTTAAGGAACCTGTCCATAGACCAAGAGGCAGTGGTTTGAACAGCGCAAGAGAGTACTGCATGGTTTAAAATTAGGAAAAGTGTGTGTCAAGGTAGTATTCTTTCACCATACTTATTCAATCTGTATGCTGAGCAAATC